GTATGTGTAGGCCAATAATCAGCATGAGGTCTCACAGTGCTAGGAAAGCTCATTTTTACAGTTGTCTGTCTAGTCTCATGGTGCTAGGAAGGCTCATTCCTAGAGTTGTCTATTTGGTCATATAGTGTTGAGAAATGGGTGGAGTTATATCTTAGGGGAGGGACATAACTCTATTTGATTTAAAGGCCAATAGTTAAAGGGGGCCGAATAGAGTCAGGCCTTGGGCCTAGCCTGAAAATATGTCTTGGACCAGATCTATTTTGCCAGCTATTATGATCTGCCTTTGATTTTTTTTTTTTTGTATCTGATATAGTATTTATAAGAAACATATAATGATAATATAGCAATGAGTGTTATAAAAGTATTAAACAGTAGTGTCAAAGAGAGTTATAGGTAGAATCAGAAGATAGTAAGCAGCCTAACCAGCTAAAAAAATTTTTGCATGTATCATATTTTTTAATCATAATTATAATATGTTTATCTTTTTTATAAACAATTGAATCTCATGGTAAATTTTATTTGAGGATTGCAAAACTGATATCAATTTAGAATCTAATAAATTTAATTTTTCTTTTGGCCAATTAGTCTTTATAGGTATAATATCTTGAGGAGGATATAAACTGAATTTAAGAAACATTTAATCTTTAATATTTAAATTATTATAGTACTTGTTAATAGTTACCAAATTTAATTTTTTACCACCTTTGTGTTATAGTATATATTAGTTTTTTTGGGGGGAAAGGAGGTTTTGTTATAGAATAAATTATATAATTTTATAATGTCATTTTGTAGTCTCTCCAGCAAAAATGGCCCTTTTTTAGATATTAGATGTTATGTTTTATGAGGGTGGATATTAGGGGCCAAATCTGAGGAGAAATCAGGGTTTTAAATGTTTTGAGAGTATAGCCATTTTTTTTTTTTTTTATTTTCACAGTCTGAGAGGGAAATGGGATGCCATGTATTTTTATCATCTAAAATAGCCCATCTGCTTTTCATGGGGAGTATTTTTGTATTATTGACAATGATTTTAATGTCGGCTAATTGAATTATAGAATATTGTTGAGCCTTATTTAACTTTGGTGGCTGAATTTTAAAAATATAATGTTTAAGTTTATATTTATCATCTAAAAAATTTTATTTTTAGATCTATCTATTCCATATATTTTTATAGGTGTTTAAATTGAGCCTCAGCACTGCATATTGTAGGCCATTGTTTTATAGCCACTTTAGATTCCATTTGTAATAACATGGACATGAGTCCTTGTTGGGTCAGATTATATGTCTGCTTCTATCTTTGGGTTTGGGCGTATATCTTTATGTTTTGTCTGGTCTTTTTTATCTACTTGATGAGAGTTATATTATCTTTTAGGGCAACTATTTATTTATTTATTTATTTATTTTTGGAATAGTATTATTTATGTGGCCTATTTTTGAGAGAGAATCTTTTTTTAGGGAATGATATTTTTTATTAGCTGTGAATTTAGCTTGTTTCATATGTCTAACCCCGCTCGAATTCCTCCCATGAGATCGTGATTTAGTCTTTTGGATGACCAATTTTGGTGTATTTATTAGGAATGTTGTTGCCATTGTATATTAATGGCCTCAGTACAATTTGGATAAATCGAGTCAACTCAGAACCACTGGGTATTCCAGACAATTGTCAGATGGGTGGAGGTTACTCCTAAGTATGCCTTTGTCTGAGTGTGCCATAAGGCTTTTCAGAGGCGCCCTTGTCTTAGGGTGGAATTTGTACTGTCAGGGACTTCTGTCCACCAACTGACTCCCATAAATAGTTTTTTATGGGCAGTGTTAGTGTGGTTGGTGCTGGACAAGGGCATCCTGCCATCAGCACATGGCTGGTGATTATTCGGGCAGCTTATGCTGTGGCAGTTTATACAGGAAGCTGTTAGGTTTTTTTCATCATATCCAGGCAATTGTCTGAGTTTGTCATCATCTATGTCTATTGTGATATAATATTTTACCTGATTAGATATTCTCAATAATTGTCTTGAGGCATTATTCGGTAAATATTTTTGCAGGGCATCATATTTGGTGAAGGCTTTATAATAGAGGTATCCTGCAAAGGGGACACCTCTCAGAAGGTTTATAGTGGAACTGGTTTACTTAGTGGCCTTTATTTTATCCTGATCTATGTCATACCAAATGATGTGAATTTTATCAGCAGGGAAGGTAGTGAGGTTTGTAAGGAGCCAGGAGAAATTTTTAGGTTTGAAGAGAGAAGGAGTATGGCGTGGGGTAGGCAGATAGGGGAAATTATGGGAAGGAGGGTGATTAAGTGAAATATTTTTTTAAATTTTAACAAGGAGATTTATAACTATATCCATTTAGAAAGTTATACCAAGGGAGATTTTATAGATCCTAAACAACCTCTTGGGGGACTTGGTTAAAGCATTCAGGGTTTGCAGCAATATACTCTATAGCAAGTAAAATAAGAATGAGAGTTATTTTAGGGTTTATGAGGACTGGGCTGGTCTAATGTCTCTGGAAGACTGTCCGCTTTAGTTATTGCTTTGGACGTTGCTTCAGAGGCTGGTTTGAAGTCGTAGGCAGGTGTCAGAGACCAATTTGGAAGACCAAGTGTGGTCAGGAGCGTGGTCAGGTGCTCGTTTGAGATGTGAGACATGAATCCAAGAGGCAACTCTCTTTAATTTTGCAAGAGTTAGTTAAGAGTATTTGGTAAGGTCCTTTCTAGCGAGGTTGTAAGGAGTCTTTTAGTTGGTGCCTTTTCCAATAAACAAAGTCACCTGGCTGTAATCCATGATCCTTGGGGTCTTTAGCTCCCGTAAGCTCACTGTGGAAAGACTCTGTTATCATCTTTGCATTATTTGTTAGAGCTTTAAGTAGTCCCTGACAATAATGTAGTATTTTTCCTTTAAGCACTTCAGTACCGCACTCACCGGCCACGAAACCTTGCCCACAGCCAGCACTCATAGTCCGCACGATAATTTGTGTTGTGCATTGACGATGAATCTGTTTTGCTCTTGTGTGATGAGGAAAGCTTTAAAGCACTGATAGCTTGTTTTACTTTACAGGCAGCTTTACTTGTAATGTAAATCAGAATAGGTAACATATACATATGTTTTCATTACGTTATTTTTAAATGTTCACAATTTTATTTTGATAAATGAAAAATTAGAAAAGTCATTATCACGGCTGTTGGCTAAATTCAACGCTCAGCTGTGTGCCTTCATATCACGGCTGGCCGTTAAAGTCGCTGTGCGCGTTCATCTGTGGCTATCGACTATAGTCGACGCCGGTACTGAAGTGGTTAAGTAAGGCTGGCTCATATAAGCCCTAGTCTAGCCTCATAGGTCTCTCTGTTATTATTTTGTAAGGTGATAGACAGTGTTTTTCAAAGGGAGAGGATCTAAGGTTAAGCAAAACCAGTGGGAGGGCTTTCGGCCAGGGGAGGTTAAAGGCTTCAGTTAACTTAGCTAATTGAGTTTTTATTGTGCCATTTGTTCTTTTTACTAATCCAGAGGGCCGAGGTTGATAGGCACAATGGAAATGTTGTATTATGGGCCAAATTTTGCAGATGGATTGGATAATTTGTCCAGTAAAGTGAGTTTCATGATCACTGTGTAACTCAGAAGGGATTCCTCAAACTGGAATGATTCTTTCTAGCAGTATTTTGCCTACTGTTAAGGCAGTAGCCCTCCGACAAGGAAATGCTTCTACCCAATGGGAGAACATGCAAACCAGGACCAATACATATTTGTAATTCTGGGATGGTGGCATCTGGATAAAATCCAGTTGCCAAACTTCAAATGGTCCTGCAGGCAAAGGAAAGTGGCCTTGGGAGCCATGCAAAGGCTTGCCAGGGTTATGTTTTGGACATATAGTATAACGAAAATATACCTTTTGGGCTATTGTGGGGGATGGTTTTTAGAAATATTGTTTTTTTCATAATATCATTTTTTCAGGGGCCCAGTGAGTCATTTTATGAATGAAGGAGAGGAAATGTACCTAAAGGAACCATAGGTTTTTCACTGGGACCTAGCCATAACTCTCTATTTGGGCCAAATATATCTCCCTTTTGCTGCCAGATTTGTTTCTCTTCAGGGGTTGATGCCTGTTGGTACTGTAAAAGAATGTTAGTGAGAGTGTCGGTGGGTCGGAAGGGGCATTCTCGTACAGGACAGGTCATCTTTCCTAGGGCAGCATTCTTTGCTGCAGCATCAGCTAGATTGTTTCCCTTAGCTTCTTCAGTGTTATCTTTGGAATGCCCAGGAATTTTTATGATTGCCAGTTGTTTAGGCATTTGAATTGCTTCTAATAGCTCTGAGACTTGGTGCCCATTTCTTATAGGTTGTCCAGATGAGGTAAGAAATCCTCTCTGTTTCCATAGCATGCCAAAATCATGGGCTATTCCAAAGGCATAGCGGCTATCAGTGTATACAGTAGCTATCTTTTTTTTAGCCAGAATACAAGCCCTAGTTAATGTTGGGAGCTGTCCCGAACACGGGAGAGTTGAAGTGCGGTTGCTGCCCGGAACACTGGAGTCGTTGAGACACAGCACCTGGCGCCTTAACTCATAGCTCTGACATTCTTGGCCTTTCTTCTAGCTCACAGAGGGTGCTGGAGATAACAGTAGCAATTATAGAAGGTCACTGAAGTAATCCTGTGCACACAGCCCTCGTAGCTTATAGCCCCCCTAGGCCCTGCACACTCCTTTCCCAGAATTGTTAATTACGCTTGGGTGCTCTTTTCCTTGAACTGTCTGAGTGATCATAGTTGAGTATTTGTAGCTTTTTTGATATCAGAAAAAAGTTAAGTTGTAGATTAGAAAACTGTTTAAGCGAGGGAAAGGACTATCAAAGTGACGTAAGGTTAAAAGAAACAAGAATTGTTTTGTTTTCTGGTTTAATGAAGACATGCACCACCTGTTCCAATGCATTTTGCTTCTCCTTTGTTCTTATCTGTATAAATATAGCAACTGAAATAAACGAGGTGCGGCAGTCAGCAAGGACTCCGTCCTCCCGTCCTCATCTTTTTGTTGTCTCTTCATTTCTCAGCCTTGCCCCCTAACTCCAGGTGCCGCACGTCGCCGGCTGGCTCCGGCAAGTTAATGCTATTAATTCAGCCATTTGGGCTGATTTTACTCCTTTGAGTTGGGCGCTTTCTATTATGTCTACTGTGGAAGTGACAGCATATCCCGCCTGATAATGTCCCTGATGGTCCTTTAAATAAGAACCATTTGTAAACCAAATTAATTTAGCATTTTTGATAGGTGTTTTTTGCAAATCTGCTCTAGGAGAGAGTAAGATATCAGTTAGTAGACTGCAGTCATGTTTTTCTTCTTGCTCACCTGGAAGAGGGAGAAGAGTTGCAGGGTTAAGAATATTGCAGTGCTTTAAAGTGATGTTAGGGGCAGAAAGCAAAAGCACTTTATAGGAGGCAAGGCGACTTACAGAATAGTGTTGAGTGTGGTGAGAGTTTAGGAGAGATTCCACAGAATGAGGGGCATAAATTATTAGTGGGGACCCCAGGACAAATTCCTCAATTTTTTTACATAAAATGGCTGCAGCTGATATGGCTCTCATACAAGGGGGGTGTCCTTTTGCTACTGGGTCTAACTGTTGGCTGAAATAACCAACTGGCCTGTGACTGTCGCCATGCTTTTGAGTTAATACTCCAAGCGCATTTCCATTTATTTTATGTATAAAAAGGAAAAAAGGAGGCTACAATTGGGGTGTCCTAAAGCAGATCCCTGGGTAAGAGCTTGATTAAAATCCTGTGTGTTGCTTTTCCCTTTCCCCCCAGCAAATTGGGTCTGGTTGGTGATGCTTTAGTTTTTGTATAAGGGCTGGGCCATTAATGAGTAGTTTGGAATCCAACTTCTGCAGTAGCCTGTTAGCCCTAAGAACCCTCTTAATTGTTTTTTTGTTTTGGGCAAAGGAAAGGCCATGATGGCAGAGATTCTTTCTGGGTTTATAAGAAGTCCCTTTGGGGAAATTGTGTGCCCTAAGTATTTAACTTGGGGGAGACAAAATTGTAATTTATCTCTGGACACTTTGTGTCCCTTCAAGGCAAGCTGTTGTAGGTGAGGCTGAGGCTCTGTCTGATGACCCAGATGAGCAGCTTGGGTTTGCACACCCGTGGAAAACAGGGATGTCCTCTCTCCAGCTTCTGAGTAGGTAGAAGTGGGCAGAAAAGAAGACACCTTCTGTGTATCTCTTTATGGGGCGGGGGGAGGATTCCTGTTCCTCTCTCAAGGTAGGAAATCAAAACTGTAGATAGGAAGAGGAGGGGATGTTCTCAACATACAGAAATAATGTTCCCTCCTGAAAACAAACACGCCTTCTGCCTCTTCAACACTGCTTTCAAGGCTGCCTCTCCCCAGTCTGCAGTTGAAGCAGGAAGCCTGCAAGCTGGCTTTTCTTCCCTCAGAGCCATGAATCACGCTTCACTTAGAGTGTTCCTCCTGGAGTCCCCCCACCTCCACCCTTGCCACAAGCCTCCCCACATATCTGCAGACACCAACAGAGAAATCCCGGCTTCCAGTTGAAAGGGTGAGGAAAAGCCAGGGGCAAGCTTGGTCTAGATTCACTCACCAAAGCAGAGCCTCTGGGGGAAGTGATTTCTTCCTGCTATGAGGAGCAGCTGAGAAATGAAAGTGAACGTCTTGGGGCCTGGCAGGAAAAAGAAAGGGGAAGGAGCTTCTAGGGGAAATGGCCTGTAGCCCTTTAAGGCCTCTAGAGAGAAGATAATGCTTTAACCTATTGGTTCTTGAGGGGAGATGGGAGGATGGGCACTTGGCAATGTCTAAAAAGATATTTGGAGGTTATAAGTAGGGGGATGCTACTGGCATCCAGTAGGGGCCAGGGATGCTGCTAGACATTCTAGAAAGCATAGGACTGCTCCTGCCACAAAGAATTATCCAGTCCAAAATGTCAGTAGTACTGAGTTGAAGAAGCTCTGTTTTAACCTTCTCTGCCTCCCAGAACCTACTCTCCTATCTCTTTCATGGATATGCTTGGTGCCTGGAATCAGTCTACTAATTTGAATCATCCTTCAGCTCCAATGTTCCATTTGCCCCTGTGCCCAAAGTACTACATCAGCTCCTAGGAGGAGGGTGGGTTGGTGGAGGAGGGGAGGATGGTGCTGAGAAAGAGTTGACTGCAAAGACCTGGCGGACCTTTTGGAGTGTTGCAGATGCCTTAATCTTGACTGTTTGGTCATTACCCAGATGCATAACATTTTCAAAATGTATCAAACTGTGTATTCTAAATGGGTGCATATTATTGCATGTGACATGTACATCAATAAAATGGACGATAAAGAAAATTAAAAGTTTTCCAGGTGATTCTTATATAAATCTGACCACTGAGAACAACAGGCTTTATAAGTGGTTAATCAGGGCTTTTGGACCTGGGCAGAAAAGGTTACTTAGAATCTGAGGTAATCTTGAAACCACACCTAATGGGAAGTAACCTGAACAAGGGAGACCCTATCAGATGTCACCGCCCTCTTCTTGGTTACAGGGCGATGCCAGCACATTGTGCCTCCATGACCATCGTGCTCTGTTTTCTTGAAGAAAATAAGTTGATGAAGACATTCTCCATGCTGTTTTCATCAAGACGATCAAGTCTTCTACCTGTTGTGGAGCATATCACATAACAAATGTGCCACTTTGGGAAATTGATTGACAAGGTGCAGTTGCCCATTCCGCCCTCTCCCAGCATCTCACCCATGCTTGGGAATCAAGGACAAGTTCCAGGCAGAAGGGCAATTATAAACAACTTTGCCTTAAAAATATCCACACCCAATACATTTGTAATATACTTTGACCACTTTTAATGGAGTCAATTATTACTTCCCCATTCAAATTTCTTCCCCTTTTTTTTCATATTGGTAATTTATATCAGTTGTATAATAAAGCATCAGACAGATTATTAAATCATGCGTTCAGACAGCCATCTACTTTAACACATCAGTTCTGGGTACGTGGCATGCACTGTTTCATTGGTAATTTTGTTCCCTTGAGTTTTTCTTCTAGTTTTTCAAACTAATTTCTCTATGAATTCAATGTACATGCAACTACTCTGTATCTTTAACCTCTTTTTGTTATTTTCTTAACAACTATTAATATCTACCAACATATATTATGTTAAAAGTAGAAAAAAGTTACCACTTTTGGAAACTGCCTTAGGAGATCAGGAGTTCCTCTGGTACCCAGAGCTGTGCTTCTTTCTGGGTGGCAGAAATGGCCTGGATAGAAAAATTAGCAAGTTTGGTGCATTCAAGAATCTGCAGATATTTCCAGGGGACTGTACTTGGGGCTCTCAGTGTACAAAAAAAGAGGCTGACAGAGATGGGCTGGGGTCAAATCTTCCAGCCTCATTTATATAGGCAGAGAGAGAGAGAGAGCTGGGAAAGTATTTATAGACACCAATGCAGGAGTAATGCATCAAGAACTTCTGGCTTTACTAGCACCATATCACCTGATCAACAGGCCTTCGCAAAATGGGGCCCAGCACGGCTATCTTCTCTGCCAGCCTATGTGTGAGGACTGATTGAGCAGCCTGGGGCACCACAATTCTGATGGAGCCAATTAATCCAACCCAGCTTGGACTTTACAACCTCAGCCCCATGGATGCAGCTCCAGCCCATCAACCAGTGAGGAAGATCTTCTGAACCTTCCATACAAAACAGCACCATTACTGAATGAGCAGGGAAATCTCGGGCCTCTCTGAACACAAGGGCCACCTGTGAAGCATCACCTGTTAACTTTAGCCTTCCTATGAAACAATAGACAACAAAAACGTACTCTCGACCAATATTAAATATTAATATTGTAAAATTGTATGAGTTTGTTAAAGATGACCACTTGAAATAATGGCATGTTAGAAATAACAAAAAGAGGTTACAGACATGGAGTAGAAAGATAAAATTTATTTATCTACTACTATAAGGTGTTTTCTCCTCCATAACTTGAAGAAATATGAGCTTTGTAGTCTCTAGTATTATCAAGAATGTCTTAAAACACTTAAGTTTAAAGATTTAGAGTCTAGGAACATATGTGTGTGGTCCTAGTGGCAAAGGCGCCCAAAGGAGAAAAACAATTCCCGTGTCCCTCCTCAGGGAGAGTAGATGAGGATCACCTGAATTGGGAGGTGCCTACCTCAAGATGGGCACTGTGGAGAGGAAGTGCTGAGGTGCTGAAATTAAAAACAAAACAAACAAAACAACAACCATAACAGTAAGAAAAACTGATGTGGTGATGGAGGCAGGATCAAGATATTACCCAGCATTATTTGTTAGAAAAATGTAAGATCCCTTGAATTTCACACAAACTACTATAGGTTCTGTGTCTATTCCAATAAGGATTTCAGATAGAAACTTCTGGTGATGGCCGCAGATCATACTTATTACACCTTGTCCATGGACCATCCTGCAGGGTGAGGGCTCCTCATGCCCTGAGATTCTCCTGAGCTTACCCAAACTTTCCACTGTGGATGTTGCACTTCTAATTAGGACCCAAAACCCCAGAAATACAAAAGGGCATGATTGCCACATACCCCTCCAGCGATGGGAAAAACAAGTTTGGGAACCGACTTTTGCATGGTGAGAACTCACTCTTGGTACCCACTGGGCTTTTTACTTTGAATACAGATGCCCTCCTTCTCTGATCTTTTCCTGAGAATACAAGAGTTGGAAGCAACTTACAGGCATCTTGGTCTTGTCAGCAGAGGGTGCCATTTCTGAGGCCAGGAGGCTCTGTTAAAATGATGATGACCCCTAGTGTGCAGATTTTGTTTGTGTTAGCTATTGTAAGTCTTCCTGTAACCAGTGTCCCATTTGGGGACTATGGAGCTGAAAATTCTGAGAATGAAAGACAGGAATATTCCTGGAGAGTTTCCTATCAATAATTCAAGAGTGCGCAGGACATTCCTAGTGAGTCAGAGCCTTGAGCCCTGTAGCAGGGGTCAAAGGGAAATGGACAGAAATGGATTTCCTGTGGTTTCCATGGAGGAGTGCTGAGATAGTGGTGTGTGTCCACCCATAGAGAGACTGGATATGTGACTTGGAATCCCTTCACCCACCACAGGTCACCAAGACATGGAGACAAAAAATTTCCTGACAAACAGAGACCAGAGCAGAAACTGCTTTGTCTGTTCCAAAGTAGGTGTGGAGGAGGGTTGGCAGTTAAAATGTCAAAAGACACGGGGATTCCACCATGCTGCTGGAACAGGGCAGCAGTGGCATTTGCCCTACTGTCCCATTGGAGGAGCAGAGCAGGTTTTACCTCATTCCTGAGGACTACTGTCGCCTTTTACCTCACACAGCATGAGGCTCACCAGGAGAAAGATGACTGACCCTGGCCAACACCATTGTTGAGGGAGCCCATGACAGCTCTTCTGACCCTCCCACTATCGCTGTGATTCACACTGTGAGCCAGCAACCTGAAACATGGAGACTTAGCGGGGCAGACAGACAGGGGGTTCTGATGAAAGAGAGCTACTACAGAAGTAGAAATGTGTACCAGAGAGTTCTAGTTTTAGTTTCAACATGTAAAAGGCTTTAAAGTCACTATTCCTATGTTTGCAAAAAGAAAAGGCTGGACCAACTAAAAATCAGTTTTTAGACTCATCAGAGAATTAAGGTCACAGGAAAAATTGCCACCCCAAAATCTTGAGACAGATGGTAAATACACAGAATAACAGCCTAAATCTACTTACCTGGAGCAGAAGTTGCATGGGCCATATACACTGGTAGAAACACTTAAATTGTAACTTTGACAAATTACTGGAGGGTGAGTGTGTACTAGCTTAAACAGTGAGAAACTCTGGGGCCACAGCCCATACTTTCTTGAAATTTACCTCCAAAAACCAAATCATAGATGTAAGGCTGGTGGCAGGGGCCCCCTCCCCTCCCTAGATGGAAAAAGAAAACGCTTAGTGACCTGACCTGCCAAGGACAAACTGCCAGGCCCCACTGAGAGGAACCACACCCAGATCTCCACCTGGATTCGCTCCGGGATTCCACAAATACCTCCAGCCCCTCCTATTTCTTGCCAACCATCCAAGGTCACAATAGAGAATCCCAGCTCTTCCCGCCACAAGTTCCTAGCCCCGCCCAAAGGGTATAAAAGGCCTCAGCCCCTTCAAACGGCTGCGACTTCCGGGGCCCCGCTGTTGGGGCTACAGAACCTCGTCCACGAGTGTATAATAAAGCCACGTGGTTTGGCCCCCCACTCTTTCTCTTTCTGTGTCTCTTTTCTTTTCGCCACCGCTGAAAAACCTTACAATAGAGAAAAGCTCATAGTGAAAAGCCAAGAAAAAGATCTTTTTTCTCTAACAAAGGGAGGGTAAAAGAACCATTTTGAAATATGCTCAGAGCATTCTCCAAAACAAAGTCCTACTCTCCACTGGAAGATACTTTACCAGAGCCTCACTCCACCTAGGGAGAAGAATGTTGCTTCCACATTCTTTAACTTAATATTTACTACAATAAAAACTAGTGAATTGAGGGTAGTATGCTCTTGTATAATCATGTGATTATCACTGCAACTGTTTTGGGGACATCACAATATTCATAATGGAAATTCATAGTCCAACCTTTTTTATCCCCACAGTATACCCCATTTGTGTTTGATGTTATCCATAACCAAGGTTCAAGAATAAAAATAAACATGTACTTGTTTCCATTATTTTATAATAGATTAATCAACATGGAAGGTATACAGTTCATCGTATTAGGCTGATTTTCCCACCTTTTCTTTAACTTTGTATCTCCGTGGCATTCCTGACTGTGGTATTAACATTTGCATATGTAATTATTTTGTTTTTCACATTAGCTTTCAACTTAAATTTTTCATCATTGCTTTAGTGAACATAAGCTAGGACCCAAGTTTCATATTTCTTAGTATCATTTATGGGCAATATAGTTATAGAGTCCCTACATTTTGAATATTATAAACTCCTTTTGACTATTTCATATACAATATTTATATTTCATGAGGTTCCCTGACGTGTCTTGAAATATCTCCATAATTATTAAAAGGATTTGTTCTGTACAATTTGGGTTCAGTCAAAAGGCCACACTCAAGGGTCCAGAAGGCCACATGTGGCCCCAAGGCCACAGGTTCCCCACTCCTGGCTCCAAACTAATACAGAACAGTCTCCATTTGAAGTGATTGACAGATAATGCATCAAATATTCAGCAGCCATAGGTACCGAAAATTATGTTTTTTCCAAAACTATATGTGTTCATTAGCAGATCACAAAGCTCAAAAGTTTTGTACTGTTACCCACGGCCATCACTACAGATTTCAATCATCATCTTCCATACGTCTTGGACATGTAAATCTCAGGGATTTTGATTTATTCCATGATCCTAAAGGCAGAGCCACGTGAATGTTATATAGTACCACAAAGAGTGCTCCTATTGCTCTGGAGGCCACTGAAATTGATCATGTTTCTTTGTTACTTGGTATTTAGTAGCCATTACTGGGGAAGTAAGGAATATGGTGTTTCCATAAATGAAATGTACCCACTAACTGTTGCTTGTAGGCATTACTAAATACAACTGTTTTCTAGACTAAGTGTATCTTTGGTCCCACCCATTCCTGGCATTCAGGGGAATTTTACCGTCTGAGTCAACTCTTGTCATTACTTTGGATTTACATTCTGTCCATGCAGCATTATCAACTATATCACCTTTTCTGATATATTTTGTGCTTAGTTTCACACTACTATCAGAATATCAAGCATAAAATGAAATACAGAAAAGGGAAATCTATCAGGCATTTTGTCTACTGGATTATATATAATAAACAGGAGACTCTAAGTAGTCCTGAAGACTATAAAGTGATATCACATTCTGAGCCAAGTGAATACAAATCAGTCTCATTTGGACTTACTAATAGTACATAGACACACACATAGGTAAGTATTAGCCATATCAGATAATGCACCAATCTATTTTTTTATGCTATCAACTCATCAAACATGTAGCACAACTGGTGCTAATTTGTTGACTATTCAATTGACCATCTTATTTAATTCTTAGTCCATCGTCGAAATTCAAAACTTCTTTACAAGTCACACAGATTACTTAATGAGAGAATTTCTAACACCCAAGCACTCTCTGTAGTCCTTAATATATAGTGTAATTTCTTTTATACATTGTAACAATCTGTACTATTTTATCTGTGTAACTCATTTTGGTTTTGGTTAATGCTAGTAAGACAATGTGCAAATGTTCTATAATGATGAGCATAGAATAATTATCACAATTACTGATATTGACCATGTCAGAGCAGTGCATCGATCCAAGACTACAGGAGAAAACCAACGGCCAACCTTTAATACGTATGGGTATTTAAATTGCATGGGTATGGCTCCTCCTTGGGAAGTTTTATCAACAAAATGTATTATTACCACATCTTTATATCAAGAATATCTCTTGATATTCTTTACTTCCTATGATAATAGTTTTACCAATCATTCTACTTTTGTCTTTCTCTCAATGATTTTATTGTTATTGGTAAATAGACTCCATGACCCTTCTTACAAGAAGAAATTATCCTATCAATAACTTCCCTGGCAGCAGCAAGGTAAGGGGCAGAACCCATTTACAATCTGCCTCAGGGGTTGACATAATCAAATCACAGATCATATGTTCCAGCTTTGGCTATCCCTTCCTTCCTCAAGTTCTCCCTAACTTTAACCATAATTCTCAATTTCTTGAATTATATCGTGGGATGTTGGTGTGTGTCAGTAGTCCCCAACTTTTTTGGCACCAGGGACCAGTTTCATGGAAGACAGTTTTTCCACAGAAGCAGGGGACCCCGTGGGGGGAGGCGGAGCTCAGGAGGTGATGTGAGCGATGGGGAGCAGCTGTAAATACAGATGAAGCCTCGCTGGCCCACTGCTCACCTCCTGCTGTGCTAACAGCCACAGGCTGGTACCCGAGGGTTGGGAACCACAGTGTTAGATGAATATAACACAGCTTGATTTAATTGTTTTCTACAGTCCAGTTTCCACTGTCTCTACACATTTCCCCTTTTCTCCATTCCCAAGCATATGCTCTAAGTCAGGCCCTCTCTCATTTATTCTTTGATTATTGTCACAGCTGTGGCTATCTTTGTTAACAGCACAAAGCAATATGCAGTAATAATCAGCAAATTTTTTGGTAAAAGTGTCAAATAGTAACTATTTTAGGGTATGCAGGTGGAGTTCCCACTTCAAAAAAAAGGTCAAGAGTGAGAACTTACTCTCATAATTTCCCCCAAGTCTGTTTGGGCAACTTTCCCCAAAGGTGAGAGACCTTCTGTAGGTCTCACCTACAGAATTCCAGCAAGTACTTTGGCTTTCATTGGCCATTTACTAGACACCTCTTTAGGTTCTCCAAGTGAACTTATTTGGAGTTTACTTTACAAGTAGAGCAGAGTTGGGCTAATAAACCCCTTTTGCCTGGAACTTATTGCATGGGAAAGCCTTGGAACATCACTTGAGCCCAGGAGTTTAAGGTTGCTGTGAGTTAGGCTGATGCCCGGCACTCTAGCCCAGGCAACAGAATGAGACTGTGTCAAAAAAAAAAAAAAAAGGAAAAAAAGGGGTGTGTGTGTGGAGAAGCTGTAAGAAATCATCCTCTTACTGTAAGTGCTTTCTATTAATCATATTTTCTCTTTGAATTTTCTTCCCATTCTGAGAGAACAATGTGTTTTGAACTGATCATTTTCTTCTCCTCCTCTCTTTTTTTTAAAACTTCAATTCATTTGAAAGATATATTTTCTTTTTTTTTTTTTTTTAGACAGAGTCTCGCTTTGTTGCCCAGGCTAGAGTGAGTGCCGTGGCTCACAGCAACCTCAAACTCCTGGGCTCGAGTGATCCTTCTGCCTCAGCCTCCCGGGTAGCTGGGACTACAGGCATGTGCCAACATGCCCGGCTAATTTTTTATATATATATCAGTTGGCCAATTAATTTCTTTCTATTTTTTATAGTAGAGACGGGGTCTTGCTCTTGCTCAGGCTGGTTTCGAACTCCCGACCTTGAGCAATCCGCCCGCCTCGGCCTCCCAAGAGCTAGGATTACAGGCGTGAGCCACAGTGCCCGGCCAAAAGATATATTTTCTTTATTTTTGGATTGCTACTCTGAAATTTATAGATGAAGGTTGAAGATTATAGAAGACTAAAGTTACAATCTCCTTCAATATGAATTTAAAGCTCCTTAAATAAACATTTTGTTTTCAGAGCTCAATGCTATATATAATTACACAAAAACACAGCCACTTCTTTGCTCAGTATTGCATTTTATAAAAACCTGACAAAGATATCACAAGAATGAAAAATTACAGGCTAACTCTTTCACAAACATAGATGAAAACAATATCTGAAAAATGTGTTAGCAAAAACAAATCTAGTATTGCATATAACAAATAATGGTTTATTTTAGGAATCTGTGATAGATTTAACAAGTGAAATAAAACAATCTACTTAATTTATTATAACAATACAATTACGTAACATTATCTCAATAATAATAGGAAAATATCTGTTGAATTCAATTTTTCATTCAGTACACAAACTCATAGCAAATTAATAGAGAATTTCCTTTGATCCCCTGCATCAACCAAAAACCTCCATCAAATGCCAAGGTTGGTGGCAAAAGGTTAAAAGCTCCCTACTACGCACAGCAAGGTTTGTCATTAGTCAAGGATGTTCACTGTCACCACTGGACAATATCCTAAGTCTGAGGAAATGTTCAAAAGGAAAGAAGTGAGAACACAGAAAAGCAGGAGATGAGAAAGGAGTGCCACGTGCAGATAAGCCGCAGGGTGAAGGGTACTGCTCAGATTGGTGAGGACAGCAGACAGCAGAACGTTCAAAAGCTTGGACCACGCAGGGTCATGGGAACTACACAGTCGCAAGGATTGAAATAGGGGCACAGGGTGGTGGGGAAGTAATATTTAGAGAAAGTGTAGATGGGGAAACCATGGTTTGTGACATTATAAAAGGAGACAGTGCCAGCCTCATAGTCTAAGAAAACGCCAATCCGGCGAGGGCGCACCGTCATGGAGAGCAGCAGGGCCGCGGTGGAGTCCTCGTAGGCCCGGTACACGTGTTTATGCTGGAGCCCGATCACCCAGTACCCACTCTGAGGCTGGTACCTCGAGTAAGCATTGGGGTTTTTCACATACTGGGCGAAAGAGGAGGTGGGTCCCACCGAATTGCTGCATACCCCCAGGATCCAGGTGGTCTTCTTGGCCACATCCACCTCCCAGTAATGCTTTCCCGAGGAGAAGTACTGGATGCCCAGGACACTACAGTCATAGTGCTCCTCCAGACAGGAAGGCTCAGAGGGCTTAGCACCCACAAACCTCACTTGTCTCCGGTTTTTAGACAGGACAAGATTTAAATTAGCCGTGTGCGGGTTCAGAGTCACGTCCACTGCAGGAAGAGGAACAACAGCAGATGAGAATGGGAACATGGGTGTTGTAACACCGAGAACAGGGGATGTGGGAAGCAGCTGGAGGAACTGGGATGCTGTGGTAGGGGACAGAGGTGGCTTTGATGCCACAGAGTGGCGTGTGCTGGTAGGTCCAGGGAGGAGGAAGGGAAAGGGGAGTGCGTGTATCAGCTCAGAGAGGTCCAGATTTCTACTTACCCCAGTAGCTCTGCACATCTGTCAGCTCTGCAATAATGAAGGGAGTCAACAATGTTGAATAAGACCAACAGTCTCAGGTCTGATCTCCCTCCCCTTATAGGATGGAGGGGAATTACAGCAAATTCCACAAGGATGTGTCATCTTCCCCTAAACACAAACTGCATCTTCTTCAGCACACTATGTCCCTCCCTCTGGGACTTCCCCTTTGGCCACTATTCCCAAATACCAACTATATCCTCTACCCTGTTTGTCTTCCCATGACAGTAATTCCACAATCAAACTCTCTCCTCTGAACCTCCTTACCTCTATACACTCGCAGCATCTTCCTCAGATCTGGGGTTCGGAACGTACTTCTCAGCTTGCTGGGGAGAGCTTCTGGCTTCCTCAGGGTCCAGAACTCACTCCTGCAGAGGACAGACCTCGTGAGTCCCCACAGGCCGACTGTGGGTTCCTCCAACACTTTGTCCCCCTCACCCCCAGACCCATCAATGAACTTCAACACTTCCCTGAAGAAACTTGACATCATTCTGCAAAGAGCCCTGGCCCTGGAGCCAGAAGAACTGGAAGAGAAACTAGCTTCTCACCATCTGTATAGACTTTGGTTAGATGTAACCTCCTAAAGCCTCACTTTTTTCTGCTGTTGTTTTTAGAACAATACCAAATATGATACAAATATAGTGACTTCCCTTTCTCTGGGTCCTTGAGATAGTATGAAATTCAGTAAAATAATGACTAGGAAATCCTTTGCTACCTCTGAAAAAGATAGAAACTATTTACAATGTTAATGCCTATCAGAAGGGCTGGGGATGTCTGGGTTGCCAGGCAGAACACCAGGAACCCGCTGCCAGAGCTTTGAAAGTATCAAGTGAAGGGCTTCCTTCAGAAAAGTCTGTGAGCTTAGGCCCCAGGATTTATCAGAAGCCCAAAGGAGAAAGGCCTTCAAAACAGTATCTTAGGATGCCCTATGTCTGGGAATGTTCTGCAGATGGAGAAAGGAGACGTCCTCACCTCCAAACAGAGAGTGAAGACTTCGGAAGGGACAATGGCATTCATATTGCACATGTCTGTGGGGAGCATGAAGGCACCAGGTGTGTGGGCAGCTTTAGATGTCACCCTGTTCCATGAGATTCCAGAGTATGTGACAGAGAACATGTTTTGTTCCAGGGCCAAAACCACTACTCTCAGTATCTCAGGCCTCTGCTCTTATTGGAAACAAGACAAAAGGAAATCTGAGAACCAGGCAGTAAGGCCTAGACTGTTCCAAAGCCAAAAGAGAAAAGGAAACTTATGGCAGATGTCCCAAGAGCTAATTCTTGGGCCTTGGGAGACAATGCTGATGGGAATTTCCCTCTGATAAAATGTATATGCAAAGAAAATCCCCGTGGTGTATTTTGAGGTAGCAAAAGCTATGAGAATCAGGGCTAAAAACAGATGCAGAGGTTTGTGGAAAAGGAGTCACGTGATGTGGCCCTAAAAGAGTTACTGACACTGTAATACTTTATTTTTAATGATGATACTATCCCCAATGTGTGACCTCCCATCACCCAAATCCTCTTGCCACAGAAGCAAGTCCACTCCCTTTATTTTAGAACCCCTAAATCCCCATGTGATGAGCAATTTAAGACATAACGGTCTTGAATCTTCCCTGTTTCCCTTTACCACTGACCACGGGAATATTCTATGAGCACAAGAATTGTTTGTCAGTCCAAGGGAACCACCTCATGTTCTCCTACACATACCTTTTTGTGACTTCACTCACATCCTAGGAAGGAAAAAGACAGGTTAAGTCCAGGAGTAGTAGGTCATGCCTCATCCACATTCCTCATTCTCTGTCCACCACCCCACGATGTGACAGGAATAAAGACACTTCCAATGTGGAGGCCACAAGTAGAGATAAAAACTCAGTGCAGAAATCATGGGAAGACATCGCAAAATGACTCGATTGATTCATAAATACCTTTATTTCTGCAACTTTGTGTGTGTGTATGTGATGTTATGTATGGAGAACAATGTAAACTGATGGTTTGTTTCTCTTTAAGGTAAACATTTTTACAGTTCGAGGGATCTATTGAGGAGCTAGAGCAAAAGGGTGAAGAAGAAAGCATTACGGTAACCTAATATCAAAGACAAGAAAGAACAAGAGGCCAGCAGAAAAAATGAAGATGTGAAGCAGAAAGCAGTGAATGAAGAAAAGCTCTACTAGGTAGAAAGCAACTACCCCATGACTCCAATACCAACACCCAAGAATAAGTAAACAAAAAATTATTCCACTACCAAAGAAAGAGCAAGAGGAAAGCAAGAAGGCAAATAAAAAAGGAACAGCAGAATATCACAAGGTTACACTATTCACTCTATGCAGAAAACAGCTGTTCAAATGTCCACCTTAGTTCATATTCCTCCATCAACTCTCTCTAGACTTGATGCCTTGCACCCACCCAACCTACATACACATGGACCGGAGCCCTAGAGAAGAGAATAAAAGCAAAGAAGTGCTGATAATTACATAAAAAAATTCTCAAAGAACTTGAGTTTGCCATGTGTTTGCCTGTGACTAAGCTGGGTAAAAAGCACCTGACAAGTCCCAACACAGCAACAGAGACAAGTGCCCAGTGAGTGGTGGCTCTCACCTGGGGGAGAACAGTACACTCCCTGGGGATACATGGAAAAGTTTTTGGTTCACACTGGGGCTGGTGACGCTGACACCTAGTGGGCAAATGCCAAAGACACTGCTAAATATCCTACGAAGTACAGGAGAACCTCTCACAACAAAAAGTATCCAGCCTAAAATGTCAGTAATAGTGCTGAGACTGGAAAATCCTGCTATAGAATGTCACTGGATACAACAGATCTTCTCCACAGTATCAAATAGACTTGTGGACCACCCTTTATAAATAAAAATGAATCTATCCCTTAGCATCTGTAGTCTAATTATGTTTTACCTCACATGACTTTAGTTTAATAGGGAAGAGGGACTACAGGGACAAACGGATTTTTTTGTGTCCCCAGGAGGATGTTAGCCCGATGTCCAAGAAAGGAAGGAAAGTTGGTCTCCCTCTTCCTCGACTCGCAGATCCGGCTCCTTCACGGGCTTTACCTGCAGCAGCTCCATCGCTGAGCCCTGGCATCGACGCTCCAGCTCTGAGATGAGCTCCCTCAGGGACTGGCTCTGCTGGGCCAGCTCATTCTCAGCCTCTTCTATCATATTCAGCCCCTTCCTCTCTTGCTCCTCCAGCTTTTTCAGTTCCCGCTGCTCTACTTTGTCCAGGATGCTGCGCAGATCATTAAACTCTGTCTGGATCCGGCGTCTCTCAGGCGCCAACTGATGCTTCGAAAACAGGGAAGAGAGAGAGAGCTCTCGTCTGCTGGGCTGAGGGTCTCCTCTACAGGGGGCTGCTTTCCTGAGCCAGGACTCACTGGCAGGGGAAGGGTAAATGCCCGCAGGTGCCAGCCTGCAGAACCTGTTCTTTCCTTCTGTTCCCACTTTAGCTCTCCTGACCATTAGCCCAGGCTGCCTGATCTAGGCCTTCTAGATACAGACTCTGATTCCTGCGTGAGGTTTAGATTCCAGGCAGCCTGCCTGGCCTCTCCTGACTCTGCATCAGCTTCTCCTTCCAATTCTGAGTGTCGACGTAAGGATCATTGGCCTGGAACTAACCTGTCTTTCCCAGGAGGCCGATGAAAATGAAACTGTAGAGTAAGACCCAGAATCATGAATTCAGGGCAACCCCCAGCCATGGTTACTCTCCTATGTGATTATCTCCAAAAACCTTAGTTCACTTCTGATATGTTTACTATCTAGCTACCCTACCCTTCTGCTCCCCGTTTGGAAAGGATGCAGCCAGGGACTAGGCAAAGAAAAGTTCTTCTAGACATGACATCGGGGGACATACAGGACCAAGACTCCTTTGCTGCCATGACCTGCCCCGATTCCCAACCCAGGACACCCTCGAAGGAGTCCCTCTTGCCTTCCAGGATGCCTTCCTCCGTTGGATGAAAGCTTCTAGCTTCTCAGCTTCCTGCTGCTCTTTCTTCAGCTTCTTCAGAGACTCCTGGAACCTCTCCTGGAAGAAACACGTCAGGTCAAGCAGGGGCAGGCTTCCAATTGTCTCACTACCCAGACAGGCAATGAATGAGGCAGAGGTTACCCTGACCTCCCAAGAAGGCTATCCTGTCCCAGGATGGAAAACCTCAGGCCAACATATCTTTTATACACAGGGATGGAAACCGACAGGAGTAGGCTGACTCTCTGTCCTCCTGGGGGAAGCGCCTGACCACAAACACCTCAGTTTTTTTACCCTCATTGCCAACATCTCCCACACTCAATCCACCAGGACCCCTTTTTGCACCCAGCAGCTCACTCTATTCAATCTTGTGCAGCAAAAAGAAATTAAGTCTCTACTCTTGACTGGGAGGGCAGTTTCTAGGTTCATCCTCTAGATAAATGGGAGGACTACAGAAAATTAGATGAGAGCATGATAGGATTTAAAATCTCCCACCACCCCATTTCTCCCCATGTCCCTCCATCCCAGGCTCCCACCTGGTACTCCTGGGCAACCTCCTCCATGAGGAACGTGTGGTGACCATAGTGTTCCTGAGAACGCTCGCAAAGCCAGCAAATGACCTTTCCATCCTCCTTACAGAAGAGCTGGAGTTTCTCTCCATGGTCTGCACAAAGAATTACTTTCAGGTGCTTCCCCAGGCCCAAGGCTACCTCTCTGAGCCTCTCGGCTATGTTGGCCAGATGGCGATTGGGCCGGAGGTTGCCACGCTGGTAGCTGGTCTGGCACACAGGGCAGCTGCTCTCCCCTTCCTGGCTGATCATTGATTTCACGCTGTTCTGTGTGATGCAGGCTTGGCAGAAGCTGTGGCCACAGTCTACGCTCAGGGGTTCTGTCAGGAGCTCCAGGCAGATGGGGCAGGTCACCTCCTCTTGTATGTCCACCAGCACTGAACTCATTGTAGCTACTCTTCTGGATCCTGCCGGCCCCACCTGACTTCTAAAATACTTCCTGCCTAGATTAATAAGCAAACAAAAAAGGGTCAGGGTAAGAAAGGGGATGGGGCGGGGTGGAGGGGGGAAGGGATGCTGAGTGTCTTGTCCTGGATAAATAGGCCAGACTCCTAGGGTAACAAGGGCTTCTCATTTTCATTTCCAACACTTTCTTTTCCCTGGCTCATATGAGATACCAATTTCTACCCTTATCAGAGCAGGGATTATGATTTCCTTTTCCTCCTATTGGATGGAGGGATAAACTCAGGCCCTGAAGAAGAGGGTCCTGTGTGAGCCTCCACCTGTCTGACGTTTTCTCAGCCCACCAAAACACAACCTCAGTGTTAAAAGCGCCAAGACTGTCTGGGCGTGGTGGCTCACGCCTGTAATCCTAGCACTCTGGGAGGCTAAGGTGGGCGGATCGCTCAAGGTCAGGAGTTCGAAAGCAGCCTGAGCAAGAGCGAGATCCCATCTCTACTAAAAATAGAGAGAAATTAATTGGACAACTAAAAATATATATGGAAAAAATTAGCCGGGCATGGTGGCACGTGACTGTAGTCCCAGCTACTTCGGGAGGCTGAGGGAGGAGGATTGCCCAAGCCCAAGAGTTTGAGGTTGCTGTGAGCTAGGCTGATGCCACGGGACTCTAGCCAGGGCAACAGAGTGAGACTCTGTCAAAAAAAAAAAGAAAGAAAGAAAGAAGTAAATAAAAGCACCAAGACTCACTGCTGCCTCCAGATTCTTGCTTTTGCTGGTCCTGCTGCCAAGGCAACCCTTCACCTTGTTCACCCTGATATGTGCATGACTCACTCAGTTCTTACCTGTTCTCGTATCAGAAGGATCTGCTATTCTGCCTACCCTATCTAAAGCACATTCTCCATATACTGACCTGCTTATTTGTTTACTTAATCACCACCTGATACAGATCTTTAATTGCCGGAATCCTCCCAGCGGAATGTAAGAAATGTAAGCTCCAAGAGATCAGAGACTTTGCTTTTGTTCACGGATGTATCCTCGATAGTCAGCACAGTGCCTGACACACAGGCTCTCAGCTTTTGAAGAATAAAAAGCCAGAACCTCCTCACCCTCCACGAATGACAAGACCTTTCTCATAAGCTCTTTCACTTCTTTGCCATTATCCTGGCATCACTTTCCGTACGTGATCTCCAAAATCAAAGGTCTCATTGATTATGTAGACACTTCTGCTCCTAACAGCCCTGCTCCACACAGAGCCCGCCAGTCCCCAGATTCCCTTCCCAGAAAAACCCAAAGAAACAATGATGGCTACAATTAGGGGAGGTAATATTTTTATAAGTAATGCTTCTGTGACCAGTTGTGATTTAGAAATCACATTTTCCTGCTTTCTTTATCCCTCATAGGACAAGTCTGCATAAATAAGAGTATTCTTCTTGGCCCTTCAACAAAGAGATTAGAGACATTAAGTGACTTTTAAAATCATGCATTTTGTTAAGTCGTAGAGTTGGCATAACCTAATCTTTCAAGGATCCTAGTCAAAGCTCAGCCCATAACCTTCTAACTTCAACCAAAGACAGTGGTAAAGGAAGGAAAAGTGAGGCACAGACCCAATGCTCTTGGAGTGCAGGAATGGGAGCGATCGCATTTGAGGATGGGATTTCACTGGGACCTGTCATAAACTTTGACAGTGCAATAAAATCCTACGGGGGCTTGTGTGTAAAAGGAAAGCAGGTAGTAAAGCTGAGGCTTTATATCCTCATTGAGAAATACTATCTTCATTCTCAACTCATTTTTCTTGGATGTTTTCAGTTGCTAAATTACATTACTGTTGTTTGAAATAACATCACAAATACTCTTTAGACATTTAATTATTTTTAATACTGTTTTCAGCATTGAGCCATTTTCACTGGAAGCCATTTGCTCTGCCTGCCTAGCTGGAGTTGGGTTTGGGCCACCCAAGAAGAGCCAGTGTGCACTGCCTATTTGAAGGTGCACTGACCCTGGTCCCAGGCATAACCCTGTCATGTTGGACAGGCTGCAGCCTGGCCAGGAGGAGGTGAAATTCCACAATGTATGCTGATATAAAACATGGTGGGTGTGGGCATAAGACCACAAGGCCCTGTAAATTGTACCAATTTTCTCCCATCTTGAGGGCTTGATCGGTTTTAAAAAAATCAAATCGCCTACCAATAACAACACTACCATCAGAAGAAAGGGCCTCAGAAAGTGTTCCAGATAAGAGAAAAAAGGTTTTAAGATATCGACGTGGCCCAACAGGGCAACTGTGAGGAGGGCGGGTGGGAGTAGTGAGCTAAGAACTAGGCTCGGTGCTGCCACCTAGTGTTCCGTGGTGCTCCTGCAAGTCATGGACTGGGTCATCGGCTTTGCCCTGCTTAATATAATAGTAATGGTAACAGGAAATATTTAAAATTACCCATTAGGTACTAGGCAAGAATTTAATTATTTTGTATGTAGTAACTCAATAATTCCTTGTAATAATACTACGAGTGTCCCTTAGATTCCATTTCATAATTGAGTATAAACTGAAGTTTATACTCAATTAGTATAAACTGAAGTAGCTCCTTCAAGCAGTAGAGCCAGTTTCGAATGCAAATTCTCAGGTTCTTACTATTCCTTTATGTTCCTCATCTCCATAAACGTTGCAGAATAAATTGTTAACAAATTAACGAACTCTGGACATCTAACTGGGATTACCTGGTGTTACAGAAGTATTTACCTATCATTGGAGATTCTGTTTAACCAATCAATCACACTTGTGAGAACTGGACATTTAGTTGGTTTATTAACATCTCCTACCACACCCACCAGTAGGTACATGCCTACTGCACTATGCGGGTCTATCGCTGTTGTCAAATTATCATTAAAAGGACAGAGGCCCAATCTTTCTTGCTCTTCCATATACCTCAGACCTTAGCAATGCACCTAACACAAGAAATGAGCAATTAACTTATAATGGATTTAAAATTACAACTTATAGGAATAACATTTATCAGGTGTCAGGCAGGTGGGAGGGGGGAGGAGGGGATGGGTTTATATATACATAATGAGTGCTATGCGAACCATCTGGGGCATGGACATGCTTGAAGCTCTGACCCATGGAGGGTGGGGGGGGCAAGGGCAATATACATAACCTTAACATTTGTACCCCTATAATATGCTGAAATAAAAAAAATAAAACAAAGTAAAATAAAATTATAACTTATTGCTGAACTTATAGTTAGACTTGATGTTGGCACTGGAGTATGGAAATAAATGTGCTTTCTTTTGAAATTGTAAATATTAAAACACAATTGTGGTATATTATACTTACTATTTTAACTGAAAGTTGACTCCATCCTCTCTAACACACACACACACACGCGCACACACACACACACACACGCACGCACACTTTTGCTTCACACAAAACTGTACTTTGTATACACAATTCTCTTGAAGGAAATATTCTAATCTCATAAATGCAATGTACTAATAGCCCAAACTGGAAAGAATCCATGAGGTCACTAACTGGTAAATGGACAAATTGTGGTATATCCATACAACGACATATTACTGAACAATTAACTGAAACTGCTGACACATATAACAGGATAAAACTCAAAAGCATTATGCAAAGTGAAAGAAGCCAGATACCAAAGATAAGTTACTATATGATTCCATTTATATGAAATCCTAGAAAAGGCAAAGTTATAGTATTTGAATGTACATCAGTGCAAGCCAAGAGGATGAACTGCAAAGAGGCAGAAAGAAATTTGGAGGGTGACAAAAATGCCCTTTATGTATCATGATTGTGTTGGTGGTTATACAACTGAATACATGTCAAACTCACAGAATTGGCCAGGTGTGGTGACTCCCACCTGTAATACCAGCACTTTGGAGGCTGAGGTGGGAGGATCACCTGAGGCCAGAACATCAAGACCAGACTGGAAACATGGCAAGACCCCATCTCTACAAAAAAATTAAAATTTACCTGGGCCTGCGCCTATAGTCCCAGCTACTCGGGAGGCTGAGGGAGGAGGATCACTTGAGGCCTAGAGTGAGCTGCAGTGAGCTACGATTGCACCACTGTACTCCAACCTGGGTGACACAGAGGGAAATTTTTTTAAAAATAAAAAACTCAAAAATGTTATGCTTAAAAATTTTAACTTAAGATGTAAACTACAACTAAATAGAACTGAAAAAAAGAAGAAATACAGTAAGAAGTAAAGACTTGGCTTCTGATCTTCTAAGCAAAACTATATATAACTGTCATTACATATGGTAACCACATGTGGCTACTAGGCACTTGAAGTGTGGCTAGTCAAAAATAAGATGTTTTAAATATAAAACACACATTGAATTGTGAAGATTTAGTAAGAAAAAATAAAGCATCTCAATAATTTTATATTGATTACATGTCCTAATAATATTTTGCATGTACTTGCTTAAATAAAATATATTAAAATGAATTTCACCTGTTGCTTCTTACTTTTTAATGCAACTAGAAAATTTAAAATTACATATGTGGTCCCATTCTATTTCTATTTCATTATATATCTTTTTTTTTTCCTATTGCATGTGCTACTTTCGATATCCAAGACAGAGAAAGATTCTTGAACGGAAAAGATAATGTGACAATTGATGTTTTTTGTTAAGGTTTTAAAGTTGAGGCTGGGGAAAGGAAGAAATTGTGAAGGAAGAGAGCATACAGTCAGCAGAGGTTTGAGTGACCCTTGCCCACACACTACCAGGCCCTTGACGGCCCACTGTGGCCAAGTGCAGCCCAGAGGAGACATGGGAGGATGACAGTCTCCAAGTGAGGCCATGCCTCCAGAGCAGTGCCAGTGGGCTGGGAAAAGGCAGTCTGCTGTGTGAATAGTGAGACCAGAGGAGCCTGAGGTTCCAGAGCTCCATAGATCAAATTAACAGATAAAGAAGCCAAATTCAAGACTGAGTGGGACCAGTTAAATCAGAAGCAGATGCCTGAAAAAGAAAGTCATGTGGTCTGTTGACTAACACTGGCATCCACTGGGGCTCTTTAGTCATCTCAGTCTCACCCAGAGGATTCAGAATCTGTGCATTAATAAGATCCCCAGGTGATTAATATGCACATTAAGGCATTACAGAAAGGATTCTCTTTCACAGGTGGATACAATTTAGGGTGCAAAACAACTAAAAATGGGGGTGGGAGTGGCAGAGAATGTACTGCTATTTAGATCTGAAGGATCTATTAGACTGGAAGCTCACATTGATACCAAAATTGCTTTGAGAATAAAAATCAGTGACTGAGCAGGAGATATCAGGGCTGGTCCAGGCTGGGGGCTCAAAATAACAGCAAGGAATGAGAGGACAGGGCTCCACATCCCCTGACCCACTGGAAGGCCTAGTGAACATAGAGTAAAACAGGTGGCAACTGCATTTTTTTAAGTGAGTTGGGCAAGTATTCTTGTGCTTTGGGAATAACATTATTCTTTACCTTTGTGTAGAGTTATATTCCAATTTATTATCTGGAATTGATTATCTAACAGATAGCATTCGATAGATAAATATTTGAGTTGGGTCCTGGCTTATGCTTGTAATCCTAGCACTTTGGGAGGCCCAGGCAGGAGGATTGCTTGAGGCCAGGAGACTAGCCAGAGCAAGAGCAAGACCCCCAGTTCGACAAAAAATAGAAAAAATTAGCCACGCATGTCTGTAGTCCCAGCAACTCAGGAGGCTGGGGCAAGAGGATCACTCCAACCCAGGAGTTCGAGGTTGCAGTGAGCTATCTATGATCACACCACTTCACTGCAGCCCAGGTGACAGAGCAAGACCCTGTTTCAAAGTAAATAAATAAATAAAATTTGAATTAGAACATAATCAGTTTCAATTTTTTTAAGCTCCACTTCAAAAGAATACCTCTGGGAATTTAAGAATTTTTATTATGCATTTTTTTCTACAGCTAGGCATGGAGTTTATCAATAATAATGACCATAATTTTAGTTTTTACTATTTGTCAGGCAGTCTCCCATATGTTTAAACCTCTGCCTCACTTAATCCTCACCAAAATTCTAAGATACGTATACTAATCTGGCCATTTTATGGATGGAAGAAACTGAAGCTCCAACAGGGTAAGTAACAAGCCGGTGTCTAATGGCCGGACCCAGGATTTGAGCACGTGCGGTCTGCCTGCAGCATCTACGCTCTTTTTTTTTTTTTTTTGAGACAGAGTCTCACTTTGTTGCCCAGGCTAGAGTGAGTGCCGTGGCGTCAGCCTGGCTCACAGCAACCTCAATCTCCGCCTGCCTCAGCCTCCCGAGTAGCTGGGACTACAGGCATGCGCCACCATGCCCGGCTAATTTTTTGTATATATATTTTTAGTTGGTCAATTAATTTCTTTCTAATTTTGGTAGAGACAGGGTCTCGCTCAGGCTGGTTTCGAACTCCTGACCTTGAGCAATCCGCCCGCCTCGGCCTCCCAAAGTGCTAGGATTTCAGGCGTGAGCCACCACGCCCGGCCGAGCATCTACGCTCATAAACCGCAGGTCTCGGTCTCGAGTGATTGCCTGATTAAAGGTTGACTCTAACCTCAGTGAGCTTCATTTGCAGTAAGGCAGAAAAAAAATTACCTACATCATGAGTTTCAAAAGGGAACGGGCCTTATTTCCTTCACTGCTGTGTCCTCTCTGCCAGAGGTGACAATACGTGGCAGCCACAGAACGGCGGGCCCCGCCCCGCCCTTTACCGGCGCTCCTGGGGACTAGAAGCAGCATCAGGTGGTCAAGGTCTCCAGAGCGAACCGGGAGTCCCGCGCGGACTCCCAGAGGCAGAGGGCGCGCACTCCGCTCCGTATGTGCGCTCAGCCACGCGCGTCCTCCCCTTTCGGAGGAAGGCAGCGCTCCCGCCTCCGCCAACCTTTGGCCTTTGACCCGCAGGTCGGGCGGAGTGCGGGAGGCGAGCCTTCCGACCCGCACGGGGAGGAGTCGGGACCCCTCGCGGTGGCGGTGAGCGGCGCTCACTTCCTGGCGCGGCCACGCTGGGGCGGGGGAGGGGACGCCGACCTCTGAATCGCGCCCGCCGGACCGGGGTGTGCAGTCGCCCCCCGACGAAAAACGTCCAGAGCGGCCTCCCCTACATCCTTTAGCTCCCACGGTCAGGGGTTCACTCTCACCGCTGCCCTTTACCCGGCCCTCTCCTAGCTGCAAAGGTGCGTCCTCGGGCTCCCTTCCCCAACTTGCGTCCACTCAAAACCGCAGAGGCCTCCCGCTCTGTTCCTCCACGCCGAGAACCCCCGCGGGCGTGCGGCGCGGCCGGGACTCTCTCTACTAACGGGGCCGTGGGGGCTGGCCAGAAGACGCATTTCCCACTAACCTGGAACCGAGGCCTGGGACAGAGCCGAGATTGGCAGCGGCGGCGTCCTCCCCGCCGCCGAGAGACCCTGGGGCAAGGGGGCGGGGCCGGGAGGGGGAGGTGCCGCCCGAGGGGCTCGGGTGTCCCGCGCGCCGCCCGCCCGCCTGGGATCCCAGGGCTCGAGGGCGCGGTCCTGCTGTCCCATCGCCGTGAATGCAAGCCTGTTCCGCTTACCCGATCAACAGAAAGTTCTGAGGCCTTTGGGAACACCTCAAGGCCAGAGGTGACGCTTGTAAATTGTCTTCAGTTTACTGTAGTCTTCCGACATCATATAAGAAGTTTAATAATAACACTGATAATGCACCTCTACTCCATATTAACATCTTAGTTAAAATGCCCAAATAGATAAAAATATCTACAGTTATATGAGTATGAGGATGAACGCTTGGCCTAATGGCATGTTTTGCAAAAACGTTATTAAAAGTTATCGGTTTAAAAATACGTATATATGTATATATACCTGTGTGTGTATCTATAATTTTAACCTATACAAATGAGAGACCATCGATCTTTTTTTATAGGGCCTACGAATACACACAAAGCTTACAGAGCCCAGGAACTGTAACTGTAGGGTTTCAATGGCACAGCAACTCTGAGAAGAAAAAAAAATAGTCAAATTTGATGATTGTCACCTGATCTTAGAAGGTGGGTTAGAGGATGGAAGTATAAAGGGAGGAAGGACTGAGGTGTGCAGATAAAAGCCAGATCAACAGTTGGGATGTTGCCACGGAGATAATTGGGTTAAGTATCAAGAGATTGCCCTCAGTAGGCCCTCAGACCTTCAAATAGAAGGTTATCAAAATCTCAAAACAAGAAGAGCAGACATGTGTCACTATTCCAATGAGAGTATCTCAGGTCCTTGGAGTTAAGAAGGCAAACAAAGGGTACTTTGCGTCACCTCCATCAAAAGGGTTTTAGGTTTATGTGCAGTTGCCTCCACATTGCCCATGGATGATGCTGCAGGTTGAAGCCTGCTTATGCTCTGAGATCCGCTTGGGCCCACCCAAACTGCCTAGTGTGGACATCAACCTGCACAGCACACTTTTAAGTCCGCTGGAACGTAAGATGATGTGTTTGACACCCACAGGGTTAGAAGTGATGCAGTAGCCCAATACAGAATCCCTTCTCAGGCCCTTTGCTAAGAGCCAGTATAACTGAAGTAACTTACAGGCTCTGTAGTTTTGTCAGCAGAGGGCTTTATTTGTGGAGCCAGGAGGCTCAGTTAAAAAGAGCATGTCTTTCAGTGTGCAGAGCTTTTCTTTTTTGTTTGCTAACCAAGGCAGTTTTTATTTTCTCTATAATCAATTTCTCATCTTGAATTGGGATACTGGACATTCTGACGATTGAAAAGAAATTAATGTACTTGGCAATAATTCAAAGGATCTTAAAAAGGTAAACAAAATTTACCATATGAGCTAGTAAATCTACTCGTAGGAAACTACCCAAGAGAAATGAAAACATATGTGTTCATTTGTGCTCAAAGACTTGTACGCAAATGTTCATAGCAGTTTTGCTCATAAGTATTAAAAAATGGAATAGTCCAAATGTTCATCAAGTGTTGAATACATTAAAACTCAATTAGTATATCCAATACAAGGGAATTCTATTAGCATTAAAAGAGAACCAAGTATGTGGGATTCAGTGGCTTAGTGGGATGGTGTGAAGCATTTAGCAGGACAGGTTTGAAGATAATGGGGCCACAGATTTGCTGACAACTCCAAGTCCCTGAGTACTCTAAGTACTTGCAGTTCTAGACTCAACAGATGCGTCAACGGATCAAGCCTGCTAATATAACAACACTCAATATATCCCAGGATTATTGCTTATGGCCCAGGGCAAAGGGCCAAGATTTCTTAATAGTAGAAACTGGTTATTAATATTTGACAGTACAAAGGTTTCAAAAAAAGCAAATAGGACCATGACAAGAGGTGCAGAGAACATTTTCACAGCCAAATAGTGATTGAAAACACAGATGCTTGAGATAGATTTTCTGTTAGTAAATCTCTAACATATTCTATTCCCTGTGAGAAAATCTTTAATATAATATATTCACAGGAGATAGGTTTCCTGTGAATAAATCTGTAGTATATGGTTTTTCAGTATGATTTGTTTGAAAGCAATATTGGATGATTCCTTGTGTCAGAAACGTCTCCTCTTCTCTCATTGAAAACCCTCCTCTCATAATTACCACCCACTGGGAGTTGATGGAAACAGAAGAAAAAAAATAGACATCACAAGGCAGAGACTAAGACTCAGGGTAGTTTATTCTTGAACATTCTGCATGATAGGGATAGTTGGATGTTCTGTTAGACAGAATCAGTTATTAATGTCTGATAAGAGGAGGGACTTTAGGAAAACAAAGTAGAAACAGATTTCAGTGAGGAAGATTTCTTGTTCCAGAGGCTGAAAAATGCTCTAAAAACAAGCTGTTAATTTTGATTTTTGAGGCTTGTGATCATCACAGATGGACTGAATTAATATTTTCTTTTTTCCCTTCTTTTCTACCTCCTTTCCTTTCTTCCTTTACTTTTTCTCCTTTTTTCCTTCTTTCTTTTCAGCTTTTCCTTTTTTTCTTTCTTTTTTTTTCTTCTTTATTTCTTTTTCTTTTTTTTTTTTTTTTTTTGAGACAGAGTCTCACTCTGTTGCCCTGGCTAGAGTATCGTGGTGTCAACCTAGCTCACAGCAACCTCAAACTCTGGGGTTCAAGCGATCCTTCTGCCTCAGCCTCCCGAGTGGTTGGGATTACAGGCACGTGCCACCATGCCCGGCAAATTTTTTTTTTATATTTTTAGTTGGCCAATTAATTTCTTTCTATTTTTAGTAGAGACATGGTCTCACTCTTGCTTAGGTTGATTTCAAACTCCTTACCTTGAGCGAGCCGCCTGCCTCAGCCTCCCAGAGTGCTAGGATTATGGGCGTGAGCCACCAGGCCGGCCTTTATTTCTTTTTAACAGATGCATATTAAATGCTATATATAATGCAGCATGGTATTTAAGTTTACAGGCTCTGGAACCAGTTTTGTCCAGGTTCAAATCCTAGCTTATTAAAGACTATCTGCATGATTTGCGACAAGTTACTGAATCTCTCTTGTACCTCAGTTTCCTTATCTGTAAAATACTTCATAGAATGATTGTGAGGACTAAATATGCAAATATATGTATATACTTAGGACAGTGCCTGAAACACAGTAGGCAGTCAATTAGTGACATTATTAGCTATAATAATGTGCCAAGCATTTGGCAGGGCTCTGGACTAATACGCATGAGTAAAACATGAATTTTTCCAGCGTATTCACAGTCTAGTTAATCTGGAGAAAGTCAAATCAATTCCTTAAATATAGTTTTAGGGTTTCTTTGTTTTTGTTTTTCTTTAGTTTTGCTATTATCTCATTTTTTCTAAACCTTCTTCCTAGATAATTTCACCCACTTCCCTAGCTGATAAAGCCCAAACATTAACTGTGGATCAGACCTCTCTTTGGGGCTTCAGAGACCACTTGAATAACCCACAGGCAGAATAAAAACGAGATGTCTAATATTAATGTTTATTTGACCACCAACTCATTTCTCCTTTCCCTTCCCTTCCCTTCCCTTCCCTTCCCTTCCCTTCCCTTCCCTTTCCCTCCTTCCTCCCTTCCCTCCTTCCCTTCCCTCCCTTCTCCCTTTCCCTTCCTCCCTTTGCCCTTCCCTTCCCTCCCTTCCCTTCCCTCCTTCCCTTCCCTTCCCTTCCCTTCCCTTCCCCTTCCTTCCCTTCCTTTCCCTCCCTTCCCTCCTTCCCTTCTCCTTTCTTTCTTTCTTCTTTTCTTTCTTTCTTTCTTTCTTCTTTCTTTCTTTTTCTGTTCTTTTCTTCTTTTCTTCTTTCTTTGCTTCCTTTCTCTCTCCCTCTTTTCTCTTCTCTCTTTCTCTCTCTTCTCTCTCTCTCTCTCTTTTCTCTTCTCTCCTTTCTCTCCTCTTTTTTCTTTCTTTCTTCTTTCTTCCTTTCTTTCCTTTCTTCTTCTTTCTTTCTTTCTTTCTTTCTTTCTTTCTTTCTTTCTTTCTTTCTTTCTTTCTTTCTTTTCTTTTCTTTTCTTTTCTTTTCTTTTTCTTCCTTTCTTTTTTTAGACAGAGTCTCACTCTGTTCCCAGGGCTAGAGTGCCATGGCGTCAGTCAGCCTATCTCACAGCAACCTCAAACTTCTGGGCTCAAGCAATCCTTCTGCCTGGTCTGGAACTCCTGACCTCCAGTGATCCTCCTGCCTTCTCCTTTATTTGTTATCTTGATGAATGGCACAACAATTCACCCTTTAGGCACCTCAAAAACAATGAATGGACTCTTCTTGATTCTTCCCTCTTCCACACCAACATTCCATTTTTGTCCTTTAAATATATCCTTTTGAACAACTTTTACCCATTTGATTTACTTCTCTTTATCTTTGCTGTCATAAACTTGTACCAATTTAATAGACCATTCCAATATTCTGCTAATTTGTCTTCCTGATTCTAGCCTGATTTCTGTTAAAAGATAGTTTTAAAAAAAAGTGAAATCATGAGATTTATAGACATGTAAAATGAACACATGCTAAAGATTTTATTTAGTTAATTATTAAGGAGGGAATCAGCAAGATGGTATAGCTATTCCAAAGAAGAATTTAAAAACACACACACACATATATAAGCAATCAGAAAAACCTGCAACAAATTTACAAATAGATGAAAACAAGTCAACATCCACAATATATCTACATTTGAGAGACAATTTATTTGCATTTCTATGGACAAAATCATTTGCATTACTATCAGCTTAATACAATGTACATAATTAAAAGGGCTCGAAGACAATAAAAAGCTAAGAAAACTCAGGAGTATACTAAATAGGACATCCAGTAATCATTTTTGTCTATTTCAAAATCTTTCATAGTTTTTTCCTCCAAGACTCCATCTACCGTGGCTGTTAGACTGACTCATTTAGAAAACAAATAAATATACTCCACTGAGTCTCTTACAAATGCAAACCTCTCAGTGTGAATTTGTGAAGAAAAACTTCTGTTACCTGAAATGAGAATAGTGAAAAAGCCTGTAGCTAGAGATACAGCTGGAGGGTGAAACAGAACAATTAACAACAGTTCAGTATGCTGCAATATGGAAGTTGAAATTTAGCACGTAGTCAAAAAGAGTGTGGGGGGGTTATTTTTGGTATCTATGTGTGAGGAGGATAATTATATAGTCTTTTATTCTTAATATAACAGCTTTATTGAGAACAGTTTATGTACCATAAAATTCATCCATTTAAATAGCACAATTCAATGATTTTTTTTAGTATATTCAGAGTTGTGCAATTATCACCACAATCAATTTTAGAATATCTTTATCACCCTCCCCCCAAACCTGTATTTATTAGCAGTCACTCTCAATTTTCTTTCTATTTCCCCAGCCCCTAGCCCTAGGCAACCACTAATCTAACTTTCTTTCTCTATAGATTTGCCTATTCTACTCATTTCGTATAAATGGAATCATACAATTTGTGGTCTTTCTTTCACAGAGCATTATATTTGCAAGGTATATCAATGTTTATCATGTATGAATAGTTTATTCCTTTTGATGGCTGAATAAATATTTCATTGCTTGGATTTTTCTACATTTATCCATCCATTCATCAGTTTTTGGACATTTGGCTTGTTTCCAATTTTCACTTATTATAAATAATGTGGATATAAGTTTTCTTGTACAAATTTTTGTTTAGACATAGGTTTTTATTTCTCTTGGGTGTATACCTAGGAATAGAATTGCTGGGTCATGTTTTTACACTTTTAAGGATCTACTAGACTGTTGGCAACTGCACCATTTTACGTTCCCACGTGTATAAAGGGTTCCAATTACTTCACATCCTTGCCAATACTTGTGTCTCTTTTATTAAATTCATCTTAGTGAATGTGAAGTGGTTTTAATTTGCATTTCCCTAAGGGCTAATGATATTAAGTGTCTTTTCATATGCTACTGGCCATTTGTATTTCTTCTTTGGAGAAATATCTATTCAGATCATTTACCCATTTTTAAAATGGGGTTATTTTTCTTTTTATTACATAAGAGATTTTTAAAATATATTTTGTGTATTCTAAATACAAGTCCATTATGAGTTCTATGATGTATATAAACATTTTCTCTCATTCTATGGGTTATCTTTTCACTTTCTTCAAATGATTATATCATTTGATTCATAGTATATCTTTATAGGGTATATGTAATGTTTATACAGGCATACAACATGAATTAATCAAATCAGGGTGATTGGAGTATCCATCTCTAGCATATTTATTTATATGCTAAGTGGTATCATAAGATAAATGTCAATATAAATATATTGTTATTTCCCTTTTAAAGATAAGAAAGTTGTGACTCAGAGAAGTGAAGGAACTTGATAACTTGTCTAGAGTCACACAGTTAGTAAATAGAAGAGTCAGAATTCCCACAAAGAATCTAGAACTCAAAATGTGATCACTACTCCTTACAGTTTTCTCCTCTCTGTAACAAGAATGCTGATAAATTCTCTCTCTAATTTTCATTATCATTGTCTTGAGGATGCAGAGAGCTATGTGAAAAGAAAGAGGAAAATGAACAGAACATTCATTGAATGCTTACTATGCAGTAGATATATAATGTTATATCATTCTCATCATCTTTATAGATGAGTAGAAAATTAAATTCATTGATATTATGAAAACTCCCAAGCTTATTGAACAAGTAGTATATCTGATTTTTAAAAATCCACTCTTCTGTCACCTAGCACAGTTCAGTTCTTTCCTCTATATGACACCGAATCCCAAGGATGAGAAGAACTCCCTCAAAGAAGAATGTAGAGCAGAAAAATGGTGTTAAAATTTTTAAATGAAACCCATACTACTAAGTGAAGTATCCCAAGAATGGAAAAACAAGCACCAGCAAACTGGTATTAACTGAGTAGCACCTAAGTGGACACATAGGTACTACAGTAATAGGGTATTGGGGAGGGGAGAGGGGAGAGGGGGCGGATATACATACATAATGAGTGACATGTGCACCATCTGAGGGACGGTCATGCTGGAAAATCAGACTTGTGGGGGGAGGGGGGAAAGGGCATTTATTGAAACCTTAAAATCTGTACCCCCATAATATGCTGAAATAAAAAAAAAACAGAAAAAAAATTTTTAAATGAGAATTTTAGATGCATACACATATTGCATATCTTCTATAAGCAGGTCCTCATGCTTTGGGACAAGGGGATAAAAAGCCTTGCAAAATAATCTTTTCCCTCAAGGAATGTGCGGACAAGACGAAGTTAGGGCACGAACATGAGATGATCTTTGATAAAACAAGAAAGGACATGCTCATAATTCAACAAAATAGTGATTTAGATGAAAGTAGAACAATCTCAAAGGATGGATCTTTTAATGTGGGCTGAGTATGGGAGTGGGCAGGGTTTAGATATGAACTATATTTTCAAGGATGAGTTGGTCTTGGACTAAAACTCATGCTGAGTTGTTCTTCTCAGTCTCAGAGAATATCAAGCTAGGTGGTGTTGTTGTTCTGGTGTTAATGATTAGTGAGCAAGTTATTAAATTACATAGACATGTTTATATTTTTAAAATATCCATTAAAGAATATGTAAATCCATTGCTATTAGATATGAGTAGATATTTTGACTTCTAATTTTAATGATGAATATAATTTTTAAATACAAAGCATATTTGGATGGAAAATAGTACTCTATCCCTATACAATTATCTATATTTTGAGGAAAACTCTGTCCAGAACATGTAATGGTAATTCAGGTTTATTTGGTAAAGTTTTTTAAATTATATGTTCATATTTAAACCAATAAATGGATGTGCCCACCTATGTATGCTGCTGTGTGTTAGTATTTTTGAACTTGGGTATATACACCTGTGTAATCCTGGATTTGTGTAGCTGGTAAGAAAAATAAATATACCATGAGACTATAAATTTTTAAATGTGACAATTCTCAGAGGTTTCCCCATAATGAGAAAGATGTTGAATTTGCCAATAAATGTCAAAATTATATATACAAGTGATTAAAAACACAATAGGGAGCCAATGCAAGTAGATGTTGAGAAAAGTCCTATGTGGATGATAAATTTGGGGTAAGTTATCACATTTCCCTCTAATTAGTTAGTTTTTCTTGAGCTGATGAGAGATAAGACCACATTTGAATAATAGGTAGAAGAGAATGGGATGGGTATTACCACAGATTTCCAAGAAAAGAAATCAGAGGTGGTTTTGAGTAGATCACATCTTTAAATAAATTGGGACATGGATGAGAATGACATGGGGATAATTGGAAGATGTAGAGATGAGGATGGAGTGAATATAAGACAATTGGTAATTTTAGGGAAGAATTAGCAACCTAACTCTTTCAAGTTGGGAGGATTTATTTAGATTCTTTGACCATATTTGAAAACATCTGCTTAGCTCCTTCCAAAATTTGCTTGGTCCTCACTCCATAAATAATGGGATTGAGCATAGGCGGGATGACCACATAGAGGTTGGCCAGGAGGATATGGACATAGCGTGGGATACGTCTCCCACCAAACCTGTAGGCAAAGACAGAAAAGAGGGCAGGGATATAGAAGAGCAGAATGACACAGACATGGGATCCACAGGTGCTCAGGGCCTTGGAGCGGGCCTCTCGAGAAGGGAGGTGGAAGACAGCTCGGAGGATATGGATGTAGGAAACAGCAATAAGGATGATGTCCAGGCCTGTGGAGAGGAGAGCAGCTGCCAAGCCATACCAGACATTGATGGAGATATCAGAACAGGACAGACGGGCGATGCCCATGTGTTCACAAAATGTGTGTGCAATGATGTTGATCCGGCAATAGTGCAGGCGCTTGAGGAGAAAGATGGATGGAAACATGATGATGAAGCTGCGGGTCATGGTGGCAGTGGCAATCTTCCCAATGGCCTTACTTGTGAGGATCGTGGCATAATGCAGAGGGGAGCAGATGGCCACATAGCGGTCAAAGGCCATGGCCAAGAGGACAGCAGAGTCGGCCACAAAAAGAAAGTGGATGAAGAACATCTGGGTGAGGCATCCATCAAAGGAAATGTGGCTGGAACCAAGCCAGAAGTTGGCCAGTGCCTTGGGCATGGTGGAAGTAGAGAGCAAGACATCAGCACTGGCCAGCATGGACAGGAATATGTACATGGGCTCATGCAGGCTTGGCTGGGAAAGGATGACACAAATTAGAATGCCATTGCCTGCCAGGGAGGCTATATACATGGTGCAGAAAGGGATGGAGAGCCAGATGTGTAGGTGCTCCAGCCCAGGGATGCCAGTGAGGAGGCAGCCTGTTACGCGAGTGTCAGAGTTGTTCACAGCAGCTATACCATTGGCAGATAAAAGGGCCATGATTTTCTGCAGAGCCTTCCTCACCTGTGCCACAGGGGAAAAATAGCTTCAGACTTTGAACACATTAGCAGAGAGCCCATAAAGGTTTGCACATAGCCATATGGTCTGCACATATTCATAGACCCTACAATAGTTACGGACTCTGCACACAGGCATATCATCTATAGACAATCACACAGAGACTCTGCACAAAGTGCACAGTTACAGGCTCTCCCCATGGACAGGCTCTGTGTTCTTATTCAGAAGCTCTCCACACAGCTCTAAGACTTTCAGGAAATTACAGGGCTCAGAAACATTGCCACAGGTTCTGAAAAGAACAGGGATAACTAGAACATCAAAAACAATCTCTATAGTCTCTTTGGGAATGGGAACTGTAATGAGCTCTGCAAAAGCCCCAGGCTCTGCACAGAGGATGCAGTTCCACACGGAAGAGCCATTGTCTCTGCTTAACAGACTGTGTGGATGAGTAGGGTTAAGGACAGTGGGCACGGTGTACCCTATATCTCCTTTCCCTTGGGCTCAGATGCTCTGCTAAGCATGGAAGCAGTGAAAATCGCTATGATATTTAAAAAGAACAATGGAGAGGCTGTGAAAACACTCAGGTCAGAGATTTTTCTGTCAGCTATTGACTATACACACACACAAACACACCTATGCATACTTACATACACTCATCCATATGTGCACATATGCATGTATACATATGAGGGCTACTAACTTTGCAGGTGACAGCAGCACCTGCATACATCTTTCTTCTCCACCTTGGCTCCAACTTTCCTCCTGAATAATTAACCTCCAAGGCAGCCTGTGCTCTTAGTGTCTGCCTATTCCCCATTCCAGTGATTTTTGCTTTCATTCCAGATCAGGCACACATTGAAGTTTCCATACCCCAAAGCTGAACAAGTCCAGTATCTCCACTTTAAGTGTCTATCTGGCAGCTCCTTTTATTAGACCTTCCACTCTTTATATGCCCAATGCCCCTGTCTGTGGGTTCCTCCTCCTGTCATTTTTGGAAACTTTTCTCCCTTCTCATATGCTTCCTCCAATGAAACATCTCTCGGCCACCAAGGAAATTTACATTTTAAAGAGTAGAATCAGGACAGAGGTAGACTATTTAAATTTAAATACTTTAAATACAAGAACAGAAGCTCATTTTATTCACTTTCAATTGGCTTCAGGCTTCAACTCTGCCAGCCTGAATTCATGGTCAGAAACTTGCATGATACTGACCACATTTTACCACATATTTTTTCCCTCAGTCATTGACGATACCTTATCTGGCTCATATTCCTAGTTTCCATTCTTAGGTACTAAATTATTTTTGTTAAATTCATATATCAGATATGTTACAAATTTAGGCAATTTCCAGGGGAATCTCTCTGTCATCCTTTAACTCATCCCTTATTGGTCTCTCAACATACGAATATTGGCTCCAAACCGTCTCTTCCTCTTCCTCTTCCTCTCCTCCAACCCCCAGTATAGCAGTTGGGCCTATCTCTGCAATAACAGAAAAATCCAGACCACCAAGCACAAAGTCCTTTATCTTCTTTTCTCTGTACTCTGGCTATCCTTTTCCATCCTTTAACTCTCTTCTTTTTACTGGAGAAAGTATTACTTCTACTATTTCAGTGAATTCTTATCACCTGTTTTTGAATCCTTTACCTGACTCCTCTGTCCAGGAACTTGACCTGTTTATCCTTTATACATGGTTTCCCATATGTGGTACTTTAACTTTTCCTTCCACTGTTTCTCAATGTCTGAGGACAAAACCTATGTGTGATTTATGATTTTTGCATCCTCCTTGGGAGCTAGGGATTAGTTCCTCACCAATCTCTCCATCCTTACCTGGAAAGTGACCCTCTTGACCGTTCTTTTTCCATCCCGGTCCCCAGGAGAACACAATTCATGTCAACTACCCTAACTTAGTCCTCTCTTTGTCCTCCTGCCCCTCTTTCAGCTTTGCCACAGTACCCGTTTCTCACCCTCCTGTCCATACTAAAAATATCTGACCTGGACTTACCTCACCAGTGCCACCTTCTCAGTTCTCAGAGTCTCAGTTCCTCAATTCCACATTTTGCACACAGTTCAACCTTCCTTAATATATAGAACTGAATCTCAGGTCTTGCCTCATACAGTGTTTATTCCCTCCTCTCCTTTGGGAGCAGGGATTCTCCTGCCTCTGTGTGTCTTTTCTTTTCTCTGCTCCAATTCCCTTCCTGACCATTAGGGCCAATGTGCCCCCATTAACACAAGTGTAAAGCACATTGGTATATGCTTTGGCATAGAGCCAGACAGAAAAAATCTACTGATGGACACTCTGAACATCTGAGGGCTGGGGAAGGACTCAACAGCAACTCAGAAGCTCTTGGCCTGAGAGTTTTTGTTAATTTTTTTTTTACCATTTCTTTTTCCAGTACTGTGCCTTCAATCCCACACTTTATTCTCTCTTTTTCTTTTCCCATTGTTCTTCCTAAAGCATTTGTCTCTTGGACTTTTTTCATTCATCATCTTCCTAGTGTTTTTCTTCAAACCCATGTTTCTTTTTCACCTCCGTGTTCTCTCTTCACCCCTCACTACAGATAAAAATCTGTTACATTCATATGACAACCTAAAGGAAAGGATGTAGAGGGATTGTTTTCATTTTGCTCATTCAAACATTTGACAAAGCTTGACTGATCACTTCTTTGGTCAGCATTTACAGTTGATAGATGAAGAAATCATGTCTCTTTGCCATGAGTAGCTGCCATTAATTACAATACAGCAGTAGTGCACTGTGCTGGGGGAGTCCAGAGTCCAGAGGGAAAATTATTCCTGGTGTAGTTAGGGAGGTCAAATTGTAGTTAGGACTAAGAGTGTGTGTGTGAGCACGTGTGTGTGTGTGTGTGTGTGTGTGTGTGTGTGTGTGTGTGTATGAGGTTATTGTGAGAGCCAGTTGAGGCAATGACTATGAGAGGGCTTTACAGATGAAATAAATGGTGATGTTAATGCTTTGGAGAATATGGATTAAGGGGTAAGAAGGAAATGAAGACACAAGAACCAGATAATCTTTATTCAATAAACAGTGCTGGGAAAATCAGAGAGCCACCCGTAGAAACTGAAACAGGATCTGAAATCTCTCATCTCTCACAAAATCAACTCACGATAGATAACAGACTTAAACCCAAGGCATGAAACTATAAGAATTCTAGAAGAAAATGTTGGAAAAATTCTTATAGACCTTGGACCGCAAACTAGTACAACCTCTGTGATAAATAATATGGAGATACCTCGAAGAGCTAAAAGTAGAACTACTATTTGATCCAGCAATCCCATTACTGGGCATCTACCCAAATGATCAAAAGACATTCTATAAAAAAGACATCTGCACTAGAATGTTTATAGCAACACAATTCACAATTGCAAAGCTGTGGAAACAAGTCAAGCACCCATCAATACATGAGTGGATTAATAAAATGTTCTATATGTATACCATGGAGTACTACTTAGCCACAAAAAGTAATGGTGAACTAGCACCTCTTATGTTATTCTGGATAGAACTGGAACCCATTCTACTAAGTGAAGTATCCCAAGAATGGAAAAACAAGTGCCACATGTACTCATCATCCAATTGGCATTAATTGCTCAACACTTATGTGCACACATAGTAGTAACATTCATCAGGTGTCAGGCAGTTGGGAGGGAGGAAGAGGGGATGGGTATATACATACCTAATATGTGCAGTATGTACCATATAGGGATGTTTGAAGCTCTGACTCGGGTGGAGCAAAGGCAGTATATGTAACCCAAGCATTTGTACCCCCATAATATGCTGAAATAAAAAAAACAAAATAATAACTTTTAAGTTTCTACCATAAACAACTGTGTGTTTGACAGTACATCTCCAGCCACATAGTAAGCATTCAATAAAGACACATGACCTCGGAGAGTGGTTTATGTAAAAGTTTAACTTCCCTTGCTCAGGAGCCATTGCATTTCTTGAATCCAAGGGGTATTTCAATGCATTCACAAGTAGAGACCACCAAAAAGCCTCATTCAGTGAAATAAAGGGTGATATTATCATCCAGAAAAACCCTCACCTGATGGGGGATTTGGAGTTGAGGGGCTGAATGCATAAGAATTTGGAGGGCATTGAAAACCTGATATTCATATCTGTCCCATAGCAATTTCATCTGGAACCCACCAGCATTCTTTACCAATCAACTGTCTGTCCTTCAAATATTTATATAAACTTCAAATATTTATTTATATAAACTTCAAATATTTATATAAACGGAATGTAGAATTTAAAGGGTCACCATCATACCATTCTTTTAAGTCAGAACCTAAAGTTTGACTACTTTCATTCATTTATTCTTAAAAAAAATTTTTTTTTGAGTGTGTATAGGTGACTAGTCTACACAGGCCACACTCTGAAGGATTCCGGCACTTTCTGGTTTCTCGCTTCTGCCCAGAACCCTGAATCATATCTTATGTGGATAGAATGTAGTTTCTAGACCATGAAAATATTAATGTCAACATGTACATACTCATAGTATTGACTGGGAAACTGGAGTGTCTGGTGTCTCCCTGGGTTTTAGAGCGCTGACCTTTTGGATCATCCCATCCTCTGAGAAAAGCAGTAAGAGAGAGAAAAAGTTAGGTTATGCAGGCCCCATGTCTGTCCTTCCTGGTTGAATATTTTTTCTACCCAAGCTTTACCCACCCACTCAGCTGGGTACTCTTCCCTTCCTTCTTTTTATCAGCAGTCTCCAATTATATTGTGCACTCTTCTGGATCTTTCTCTTCTCATCCTGGAGCTATCTTCTTCAACCCCTCCACTGGCTTTCTAACCTGGCACTTATATAAAGATCAACTGTGAATATTGTCTGACCATGATAGTGATAGTGATGGTGAAAGGAGTCTTGAGGAGGCAGAGTGGGGAAGATGCAGGTGGGGTAAAATATCCTTGTAGTAGGCAGAATAATAATGACCCCTCAAAGGTATCTGCATCCTAAATTCCAGAACTTGGGCATAAGCTGTTTATATGTCATAAGACAGTTATGGTTGCTAATGAACTGCTTTTAAAATAGGGAGATTATACTGAATTGTGTAGGTGATCCCATTTAATCACAACCACCTTTAAAAGACAAAGAGAGTGGAAGAAGAGTTTAGAGACAGGGAGTGAGATTTAACTACAGTGGGATGCTAGAACTCAACTCACCATTAATACTTTTGAAGATGGAGAAAGGGGTTATATGCAAAGAAATGCTCTCTCTCTCTCTCTCTATATATATATATATATATGGATAGATAGTAGAAAATCAAATAATCATGTCACTTTAATAGAATTTCTTTTTTTTTTTTTTTTTTTTTGAGACAGAGTCTCGCTTTGTTGTCGAGGCTAGAGTGAGTGCCGTGGCGTTAGCCTAGCTCACAGCAACCTCAAACTCCTGGGCTCCAGTGATCCTTCTGCCTCAGCCTCCCGAGTAGCTGGGACTACAGGCATGCACCACCATGCCCGGCTAATTTTTTTTTTATATATATATATCAGTTGGCCAATTAATTTCTTTCTATTTATAGTAGAGACGGGGTCTCGCTCTTGCTCAGGCTGGTTTTGAACTCCTGACCTTGAGCAATCGGCCCGCCTCGGCCTCCCAAGAGCTAGGATTACAGGCGTGAGCCACAGCGCCCGGCCTAGAATTTCTTATGTAAGTCAGTAGCAAAAGTTCTGCAATCTCCAATTTCAAGATCTCAACTCTGTTGAAGAAAATCCTAATTTTCTATCATCAAAAATATAAGCACTCAAATATTTTACTCTTCCTTTAGTCCTTTTATCCTATATCAATCTCCTCTTTTTAAAATAAAAGAAAAACAGTACTTAATTCACAGGCTTGTTGTGAGTTTCAATGTGTCTAGGACACGGCAAGCTAATAAACTCAGTAACCATCTTTATGCTGCAAATTCCCAAATCTAAAGCTTTACACCAAATTCCTTCTCTGTGCCATATAATCTCTCTCATATAATCTCTCTCATATAATCAACTCTCTATTTAATGCCTGCTCTCATATTTCTTGCTGAAACTTCAAAATTAACATGTTCAAATAAAAATTACCATCTTCTCCCTTTTATTTCCTCATGATCAAAACATCCTCTTGAATTCTCTATCTTATAAATGGGATACAAAATTTAACCAGTTTTCCACATTAAAGCCTGTTCTCTTTATCTCATGTATTTTCTTTAATGATTTAAAAATTCATATATTTTTGATTTGGTATTCTATGTATCCTTTGAATTCATTCACACATTTCACACTAAAATGTGATTACAGGCTAGGCATGGTAGCTCACATTCATAATTCCAGGAGTCTGGGAAGCTGAGGCAGGAAGATGACTTGTTCAGGAAGATCAGGAGTTCAAGACCAGCCTGGCAACATAGAAAAACCCTACCTCTACCAAAAAAATGTAGATGGGTGTGGTGGAGTGTTTCTGTAGTCCCAGCTACTCAGAAGGCTGAGGTAGGAGGAATGTTTGAGTGCCAGAGTTTGAGGCTGCGTTGAGCTATGATCACTCCATATACTCCAGTCTGGGACACAGTGCAAGATCCCATCTCTAACACAATAACAATGACAAAAAAAAAGAAAGAAAAAGAGAGAGAGAGAGACCAAAAACTCCCCATGATGATTACCACTATCTATCCTAAATTTTTCAATGGCTTCAGTTATCAATTTGCTACCTCCAGTCTTTTTTTCTCTTTCATACATTTTCTACTCTGAAACCATAATGATCTTACTGTATTTAGACCAATTTACTCCTACTTAAAATCATTCAACAGTTACTTATTAATAGGGTCAAGAGTTTATCTGGAGGTGAAATGAATATCGCATGAGGCTAGTGAGCATCAT